ACGGGGGCGGGGCGGCCGGGCCGGGCCCCCTGAGTGGCGGCTCGCTGAGGCGGCGGCGGCTCTGGCTCCTCAGGGCGTGGTGGCCTCCGAGGTGATGCTGTTCAAGCTCTTACAGAGACAGACCTATACCTGCCTGTCCCACAGGTATGGGCTCTACGTCTGTTTCGTGGGCGTCGTTGTCACCATCGTCTCTGCCTTCCAGTTCGGAGAGGTGAGTAGCGGCGCAGGAGCCGGAGCCCGAGCCCGGGCGGGTCGCCGGGAGTCCGCACGACTGCACGCGCCCCAAGCCCCTGTCCGTGCGGTGTCGCGGTGTCCATCCTGCAGCCGGCGGACAGCCTCAGAGCCCACCCTACACCCCTGGCGCCGAGAGCGCGAATCCCTCCCCAGGCTCCGGTTTCAGCAGCTGGAGTCGGGAGCGCGTCCTCCCGACGGTTTGGGGGATAGGCGCTCATTCTGCCGAGTCCCCTTCGCTCCAGGTGTCGTCTTCAGGATCTCAAGTCATTGGACGTCCTCCCTCAGGTCTTGTCCTCCTCAAGGAAGCCCCCTCCCAGTTCCTAGAATTTAATTTTCCTCTTTTTCTAAGCACGCCTGAATACTCTTTTTGTCCCTTCTGCAGTTTCTCTCCCCTGGTGTCACCCTTCTAATCTTGTCACCTTTGACAAAGGCATTTTATCTTCATAATCCCATTAATTCCAGGATATTAGAACTTTTGGAGAGGCGCGGGGAGTCTTTTTGTTGTTGTGTGAATTTATATTAGGGAGAGTGTACTGGCTCCCAATTCAAGGGACTTCGGAATAAACGGAGATTGTGTGTGTGTGTGTGGCACTTTTGCTCGTTATTTTGGACAGCTGTACATCAGTTAGCTCCAAGGTGTTCTACTGGTAGATGTGCACGCACTGATGTGAAAAATCCACTTGGCAACTCCAAACACTTCTCCCTCTCTTGGGATCAGCTGAGGCTAGGGCCTGGTCATGTGACCAAGACTAGCTAACTGTCTTGGACCGTAGCCCTGTTCCCTTGGGAATCAGCATGAGTCCTTAGGTCATGGGTTTAATAATTTAAATCTGAGATCACACCAGCCCTGCCTTTCTTGCTCTGCTCTTAGTTAATGTGCAAAAAAGTAATATATCAATAGTTACAGACAACTCTTCACAGGGCCCAGGCAACAGGTTTGGAAGGTGGAAACACTCAGATTCAAAGGATTTTGTGCCTGTCTGCATATGTGTACTTATATATATGTTTGTGTGTGCGTGTATGTATACACATGTCTATGTGTGTATATATATATGTGTGTGTGTGAACATATATACATTGAAAAAAAATTTTTTTGAGAGGTTTTTGCTATAGTGCACTCGCCAGAAAGACAGAGAGAGACATAGAGATAGAAAGCGAGAAATCACCCCCCCACACCCCCCCCCCAGCGGGAATGGCCATGCTGCAATCCCTTCTCCATTCTCCTGTTGGGATCTTGGATACACATGCCCACACGCCTAGCATGAGATTAAGCCACTGGGTCTGGGACTCGAACTGTGTTGACTACATGGGAGTCCAGTGACAGAGCCATTATGCCATCTGCTGGTCCCAAAAAATATTTTTTAAGTTTGTTTATTTCTTCCATAAGAGAAAGAGAGAGGTATCCTAACAGGATCCTAATGCATTAATCCACCATCAACCTCAACCAACCTGGATTACAGGGCATGCATGAGCAACAACCTTGCTACTCCCAACCAGCTACCCCTTATCCTTCCCATCCCCCCTACTGCCCAGCTCCCTAGAGAGAGACCCGCAGACCAAACTCTAGACCTTCCCATGTGGCTTTAGCATCAGAGAGAGTTGCATCACTGCAGCTGGCGGTGGATATACACTTTAAACATGTTCTGGAATGAACTCTGGTTTACGTTTGATAGTTATGTCGCTATTGATAGCCTAATAACAGTATTCTTTATCATAAACAAGTGTACAGAGACTATGAGCAGTTCCAAACTGAAAGGGTGCATGCATATGATTATAGAGAATACCATTTTTTAGCAACTAGGAGAAAATGTATTTTGAAGTGATTAAAATCTGTCTCCTTGTTTACTTTTTTTTTTTTTTGGTAGGAGATTGCAAAAGGCTGTAAAATTAACAGAATGATTTTTAGAAATGCCACAATGTACATTTGTTTGAAGTCTGTACCCATGCTGGATTATAAAATCTGTGAGAGAAGGTGCTGTGCTGTCTGTTTAGATATTGTAATCAGGCCAAGCGCAGTGCCAGGTACTGCTAGAGTGTACAGTCTAAGTAATTGTTTAATGAGTGGCTCAATTATCTGGCATGATTTGCAAGTTTACACTTGTAATAGTTCTTGGTTCTAAGGGCTAGAAAAAGATGAAGTCTTATCATAAGGGTGAGAAAGCCCCAGATTTGTAAGTGTAGGATATGTACTTAATATACTACCACTTGCTTTTCTTTTTTCTTTTCTCTTTTTTTTTCTTTAGAGAGATTTTTGCTATAGGGTGACTGTGCTCACTGGAGAGACAGTGAGATGGAGAGTCAGAAAGTAAAGAATCACCCCCTCCCCTAGGGGGTATGGCATTCAGCAGTCCTTTCTCTTCCATTTTCCTCTTGGGATTTTAGGCGTACATGCACATGTGCCCAGCTGTCAGTCCCAAGCCACTGGGTTTGGGACTTGAGAGTCCAGCGACTTAACCATTATGCTATCTGCTGGCCCCTTAAGCAAACCTTTTTATAGTTTCTCAAATTGTTCAGGCTTTCCCTTGTTTGATCTTGGTAAGGATACTTAGTCTCACTAAGCTTCTTCATCTTTAAAATGAAGGCAAGAGTATCTTCTTCTCCTTTTTTGTTTTAAGGTTTTTGTCATAGGGTCATGTGCTTGCTGGAGAGACAGACACAGAGAGAAGGAAGGTAAGAAATCATTCTCCCTGCCCCCCCACCCGGGGGGAATGGCCATGCCATAATCCCTTCTCTTCATCCTTCTCTTGGGATTCTGGGCATGCACACACATATGTCCAACTTGATTTTCAATCAGCTGGTGTGATTTTCAAGCAGCCAGGTCTGGAACTTGAACCGTGGTTGGCCATGTGGGAATCCAATGCCTTAACCACTATACCACCTGCTGGTTCCAAGAATACCTTCTTGACAGTATTCATAGTGAATATTAAATAAAACCCGTATGTAAAGCACCTCACACAATTCCTGGCAAATAACAGATTCTTATAAAATGGTACTATTAGTATATTAATCACCAGGAATTTTGTTCTTAATCCATATTTTGAAAATATATTCTTGAAATAGATTACTTTTATGATAGAGTTTATAATACAAACTTGCTAATAACTTTGAGAATTATAATGGATAAAATGACTAAGAAGGTCATTAACTGAGAATTCATTATCTCGTTTTCCCATTCTCAATATAAGAGGTATTGGATGCTATATTTTGCTAAGCCGTTTATACAGCCATCCAAATTTTGAGAAAGAAAAGTGGAATTGAGAAAGGGAAGTATTTGAAATTTTTTTGTTTTATTTCTCTCTTATTTTGAGCCAGTGGCTTTCTGGATGAAGAAGCTGAACTGGATCCAGAGGTGACACTCCCACAGGGAGGGCCCATAGACTGGGGACTAATAGTCACAGAAATGCATTGCCTTGGGGTGAGGATAGAGGGTAGGAGTTTGTCTCTTGTAAGTTAGTTGACACAGGCAAGTCATGAAGAGGGTATCAGTTTTCTCTCTGCAAATGAGGTCACTGGATCTGCTGTGCTCGTAAGTTTTAGTTTTGCTGTGTGGCTTGTGTGCTCAGAGAGAGAGGGAAAATAAGGAGTCATCGCCCCTCCCCAAACCCCCTGGGGACAGCATTACCACAGTTTCTTCTTTGTTTTGCTTCTCTCAGGATTTTGGGCACACATACACGTTTGGTGTGTTTTTCAAGCCTCTAGGCCCAGCACTTGAACCATAACGTTGGCCATGTGAGAGAGACCCATCCACACCATTGTCCAGCCCTTTTAAGATCCTTTTTTTGGGGGGAACCAGCAGTTAGCATAATGGCTATGTCGCTGAACTCCCACGTAGTCGACCGTGGTTTGAGTCCCGCAACCGGTGGCTTAAAACTCACTCCGGGCGCGTGTGCGTGCATACTCAAGATCCCGAAAGGAGAATGGAGGAGAAGGGATTGTGGTGTGGCCATCCCCCCTGGGGGTGATATCTCACTTTCTATCTCTCTGTCTGTCTGGCGAGCGCACGTGCCCTATAGCAAAAACCTCTCCAAATAAAAGGGCACCTTTGCTTGGGAATGGGAGGCCGGCAGGGAATGAAAAATCACCTCCTGGGGGCATTGCCATGCTGAATATTTTCTCCGCTCTTCGCTTAGGATTTTGGGCATGCATGTATATACATACCTGTTTTTTTTGTTTTTTTTTTTTTTAGAGATTTTCACTGTAGGGCGCGTGCGCTCGCCAGACAGACAGAGACATAGAGACAGAAAGCGAGAAATCACCCCCCCAGGGGGGATGGTCACGCTGCAATCCCTTCTCCTCCATTCTCCTCTTGGGATCTTGGGCATGCACGCACACGCGCCCGGCGTGAGTTTTAAGCCACCGGGTCCGGGACACGAACCGCAGTCGACTACGTGGGAGTCCAGCGACATAGCCATTACGCTAACTGCTGGTTCCCCCTGGTATGTTTTTCAAGCCACCGATTTGGAAGTCAAACTGCTTAGTCAGCCATGTGCGATCCAGTTGCCTTGACCACTGTACAAGTTCCTGGCTCCCAATATTCCTTTTAACTCAAACATTTCTGGTTTAAAAAATACTTGTTTTCCGTTAGTTTTTACTGAATAGTTTTATTTATTTATTTTCCAAATTTGCTATAGGGCCTATGTGCTTACTGGAGAGGGACAGAGAGAGAAAGTGAGAAAGCCTTCCCCAGGAGGGATGAGCATGTTGCAGTCACTTTTCCTCTCTTCTCTTCTTGGGACTTTGGGCATTCCCCTCCCCCCCCCGCCCCCACACACACATTGTGCCCTATATGCTATGCTTTTCTTCTTTTCTTTCTTTTTTTTTTGGAGAGGTTTTTTTCGCTATAGGGCGCGTGCGCTCGCCAGACAGACAGAGACAGAGAGACAAAAAGAGAGAAATCACCCCCCAGGGGGAATGGTCATGCCGCAATCTCTTCTCCTCCATTCTCCTCTCGGGATCTTGGGCACGCACACACACACG